GTATGCCGAAACAATTCGCGCCGCTAGCATTTGCATGTTGACGTTGTATTAATTGGTTCAACCTTCCACCAAGGTTTCTTTTTGAGACTCTCAGGTCGCAAACTACTCAAATAAATTCACCATGAGTGCCAGTCAGCTCAAAGAGTCCGCTAGCTGAGCATGCACATTTTGTAACTGTTTGGGCCGGTCTGCGTCAGTACGTGCGCCGCTCTGCATCAATGCACAGCCACGCTGCGTCAGTTGTACATTGACGTTGACTGACGCATCCACAGATGGGTTTTTAGATTAACCTATGGAACGACTATGATAGAGCTCTAGTAATGCCTGGTTACCACCGCAACCCATCGATGTCCACCCTAATCAAGTTATTCATGAAATAGTCATAGAGCCAGAAAGAGTGTCTCGAGCGCATAGACCGCAAATTTGCCCCAGACTGTCAAAGAGCGTCAATTATGGGTTTCGTGTACCATCCTGCAATTAATACAAGAGAAAACTCTGAACATGAAGGTCATCCTACACATTTTCAACAAATTTTGTTTGGACAGCCACAAAAAACTTTCTACGGTTCAACCTCCACACTCCACGAGTAGTATCCTTTTGGTTCAATTTATCCAAATTGAATGCTCATCATGCTAATAACTTAATTGTAAGCCAAATCCATACTTCACCGATGCGTACGCCGGCCAGCGTCAATGGTGCGTCGCTCTGCGTCAGTGCACAGCCACTCTGCGTCAAAATTGCACTGACGCTGACTGACGCATCCAGTGAGGGTATTCTGAATCAGTGGGTAATATTACTCTAATATATCGCCTGTGGGGTATGGTAAGACAAAGAGCCCGTTATTTGAAACATGGGCCGAGTTATGAAAAGAGCGAACGCGCGCTTGGTGTGGGATCCGCATTGCTCCAAATGTTGGCAGTTCAGCTACAACTCGACGAACCATTGAATTTGAACGGGGACTTGCTGGGCGACCTCATGGATGACAGGGTCGTCTACTGCCCCAACGATGGGGACGCAGGTATCGAAGCGGTGTTTTTGTTCTCTGGTGGAGGCCCCTTAGTGGCGGATCGCATGCTGAAGTTCAGATCTGATCATGTGATTTATGACGAAGAACATCGCCCATACACGTTCCGCCGCCTGGAAAAAACTCGATTCTCTATCACCGATCCGATTCCGGTGATTACAAAGAGGAAGGGAACCCGAGATGTTGAAGGGGAACCGCCTTCCAAGCGAACGAAGTCTAATCCGGTTAGGAAGCCCGTTCAGACAAAGAGGCAACCAAAGGCAACCAAAGGCAAAACCGAAGCCTACCTCGGGACCATCACGTTCAAAGAATATTGTGTAGCTTACCTTTTTCGTGTAGTGCTTGATTTGGTTTCAACTTGAACTTTGGGCAAGCCGTTCGTACAGACTTACGGTACAGTTAGTTGTGTTCGGTGCTGGTAGAGGCAGAAACATCGAATTACAGATGAGCCTTCGGCGCATTTCACAGAGCTCTCGGACGAGATGTCGGTCCATCCGGGTGTGTTATTCGTCTTGAAAAATCAGACCAGGTGGCGAGTTGCCACAAAAAATGGGTGTAGTACTTGGCAGCGAACAAGGCGTTGATAGGTGGAAAGCTGCATTCAATTTGAGAAATCACAGCTTAGAATATATTACACTTAGGCCAAATGACTTGTGCGGGACGAAGGTATGAACAATGAGGAATATAGCGGTCTTGTCTGGTCGAACCCCTGCGGCGTTCAAGTGACTTGCAAGTGGCATTGAAGACCTCGAGGTGGAGCAGGGGTACCGGCTGTGAAGTGGCGATGTATGTTTTATACGGCGATGAATACGTGCGTCAATGTGTTGTGGCGTGCGTCAATAAATATGGAATCCTACAATATGACTACAGTGTGACACTGCGTCAGTGTGACAACGTCGATCTTGCAACGTCAATCAAGCGCCGATCTGCGTTGGTTGACTAACGTCACAACGTCAGTCAAACGTCAGTGCAACGTCAAAACGTCACTTTCACCCTGCCCTCAGTAAACCGGTCCGGAATAAGTATTTTTGAAGAGCGCGAGAAAAAGCTACCAAACTCGATGGGTAATCATCTGTCTGATAGCAGCAGTCAACAGGCGGACAAACGTATCATTCGAGGAGTACATAATGATAACAGTCGACTGGCGGATAGCTGAGATTCTTGAGAACGATTCAACTTCTAGTTACGCTTCAATACCGACGTACCGTGTGTAATCCCACATCTATGTACAGCATCACCGACCGAAGACCAGCACCATATCTTCGTCGAATGCCCGCGCTAAGCGCCATGGCGCACCACAACCGCGAACGAGCTCGCCGTGCGGACGAACAATAAATTGGCCAAGAAAGGAATCGAGGAGGCCGACCGCGTCGACCTCCTCGCAGCAGTTAAGTCCCTCTTCACCGATGACGCATCCGTATGGCCGCTTCAGTCACACCGATGATCACCAAATTTAGTGTGGCCGGACGTTCAACTCTAAATGCCGACTTTGGATTTGCACAAAAGCCGGGCCGAAAGTCAATCTGTTATTAGCGAATTAGGTACATCTGAAACTGTGATCTGAAATACAAGAATAAAATTGGGTCTTGGACAAGCTGAAATGGGGCTGAAATCCCAGGAGTCAGATTGCAAAACAAATGCACCGAAATTGTAAACCGAAACTTACCATTTCGGTACAAAAAAAGGCGCATCAGAAACCTAGTATTTCAGGTGCACCGAAATGGCCATGGGTACTGAAATTCCGGCTTTCATAACACATTCCAGTGTAACTGAAATCATATATTTCAATTTACATTTCAGCTGGAGCTGATGTGCAAATCAAAACTATTACTTTTGGTCAAGCTAATATTCGGTCGGCGGATCATCCGCCACTCGTCCGCAGATGATCTGCCACTCGTCTGCAGACGATCTGGTGCTCACCGGCAGAAGGTCTGCAGCTCAGGTGCAGATGGCTGGATTGCTGTCCCCTTTTTTTCCCACCTCTGCTCCAGCAGTCCAACTTACAAGACTGTGTTCAGCGCCACTGACAACGGCCTCCCAAGTAATTAAATTAGTCTTGTCAAGCGATATGTAGGTGCGCGTCGAGAATCAAGAAGATCTTTCAAGTTACTGCTGTTTGCGGAACATAGGGCGCGGATCAAAATTTCATCAAAAACTGTTTTCACTAATGCCCCTATATCTTGCTTACCTCTAATCCAAATGCCCTGAAAATATTCCCAATCGATTTCTACAGATGTTTTACAGTGCTTAGGCTGCCTAGAATTTTCATCCTCTTCGCTGATCACTGAGTAAGCAGAATCATGTGATCTTGCACTAATGCCCCTGCTTCAGAGGAAGGATGGGGTGTAGACCCCTGGATTTTTGTCTGTAAATTGTTTCAAATGTTTTAAACTGCCCTGGGTGGTTTTTTTGCAATTGATCCTGCAGAAACACACAAATAAATATATGCATAAATTTGTTGCTCTTAGCATGTCATCTGTACCGCAGCAGCAAGGTATTGAGATGGCCAATGCAATGCACAGGATATTGAAGAATCCCGAAACAAAAATTTGGGGCACACTGAGTTGTTTTCTCTCCCGAACAGGGGCAACAGTGGAAGACCACCTAAATTTGCTTACAAAGCCATTAACGACAGAAATAAATATTCTAGAAAGCCTAAGCACTGTAAAACATCTGTAGAAATCGATTGGGAATATTTTCAGGGCATTTGGAGTAGAGGCAAGCAAGATATAGGGGCATTAGTGAAAACAACAGTTTTTGATGAAATTTTGATCCGCGCCCTATGTTCCGCAAACAGCAGTAATTTGGTCCTGCGCCAAATTCATGTTCACGTTGAATAATGTCTCCCACCAATCCAACCACCAAAACAAATGAATAAGTCGGACGTGGTGCACGGTGCACGCCCCCAAACACTTTCGCGCGGTGCAGAAAGTTTGCGGCGGGAGGACTGGGTTCGACTCCCAGCGTCCGAATGGCATGAAGCTTTCGTTTTTCGTTCCTTTTTTCCTTTTCTTCAACTTGCCGGCCGTTTTTCTCTTCCAAGAGTTCGAATATTACCAGCCCAAGCCTCTTGTCATTTAATTAATCGGAATTCAAGTGCGCACTTCACGAGTGTTTATTGCCAAACGAGTCGCAACCCAAGGAACTCGAGTTGAAACTGACCTACTTACCAATCCAAGTACCGGAACTACTAAATGAATCGGATGTGGTGCACGGTGCATGCCCATCTATAATAGTTGGGAAGATTTCAATTTGTTGTGGGAGCTCTGGGTTCGACTCCCAGCTTCCGAATACTCCAGGGGCCATTGGGGGTTTTTTTTTGAGGCGGGACGTGGATCCCTGTTTCGATTATAATGAGAACAAAGACTTTCACTGTGTTCCGACCCTTCCTAGACTCAGCTTGAGTGTAGGAACCTAGAAGTAGCTACATCAATGATTGAGGCTAGGTGCCTAGAGAATAGTCTGTGGAGGTCTGTCTGGCTCTGGCTAGGTTGGCACAGGTAGGTCTAGGTCTGGCACAATCTGTGTAGGTTGCAACAGGTGCTTGTAGCCACCTACGCAAGGGGGGAGGGACGCGGTTGCTCAGAATAATAGATGATGGAAATGTTCAACATTCAAACGTAAGTCTAGGTCTGTGCAGCTGAGTTTAGGGAGCTACCCTCACCTTCCACGAGCTACCCACATCTACACTGACTTGAGTTTAGCCGCCTTACTGGGTACCCGTAAAGCCAGACGGACATTACGTGTAGTCGCCTAGATGGGGGGCTGCGTAGGGACCTACACCAACCTAACTCCATCTGGCACAACCTACAGCGCCTAGTCTCAGCTGAGTCTAGGACGGGTGGGAACACAGTGTTTGGAAGAAAGAAAGTACACTCATACTAGTACTGTTTCAAGGAAATACAACTGGTATTACACTGTACAAATCATGTGGAGATCCAACCCACCAATCCAGCTACCGAAGTCACTAAGTAAATCGGACGTGGTGCATGGTGCACGTCCCCACACGCTGTTTTTGAAGATTTGCGCAGTTTGTGCGGAAGTCCTGGGTTCGACTCCCAGTGTCTGAATTCGAATTCGAGTCGTGTATTTGTTTTTTTTTTACAAACAAACAAACAAACCAATGGCAGGCCCGGAGATTACAAGGAGACGGAATCGAAATAACAAAGAACAAAGAAGGGTTTGGAAGAAAGTACACTCGTAGCAGTATTCTCCCAAGAAATACGACTCACATTACACTGTACGTACTTGTACAAGGGATATACATATCATACACGCGAAAGACCACAAGTCATACACCTCCACCTACGCCGACCCGCCGATGTGCATCCGCTCTTTGAGCCGCTGCATCAGCTTTGGCTTCTTCGTCTTCTTGCTCTTCTTCGTGCCGTCCCCGTCTGCGTCCGCGCTTGCGTCTGCGTCGACGACGTTCTCCGAGTTTGAGCCACTGCTCGCATCGTCATCCGCCTCTTCACTCCTGTTCGGCGACACCAGCATATCGCCCGTGGGGACGTTGTCTTGGAGGCGGGAGGAGTTGAGCGCGGCGCTCCCTTGTCCTTCGAGGCGCGGTGTGAAGTCTCCGGTAGGCACGTTATCCTCGAAGCGGGAGGAGTTCAAGGCTGCGGAGCCCTCGATGCGCGGCGTGAAGTCTCCGGTGGGCACGTTATCCTCCACCCTCGACGAGTTCAGCGCGGCGCCGCCCTGTATACCAGCACTGCCACCACCGTGCGCGCCCCCGTATGCGTTTGCAGGTGTGGGCGTCGGGACGGGCGTCTTCAAAGCAGGCGCAGGCACGCTCTCCGACACCGACCCAGGCGTCGGGATGCTCTCCGACGACGCGGCGTACCCGCTCTCCCCACCCGTGAGCGAGGGTGGGACGAGGGAGGGCGTGCTTGCTAGCGAGGTCGACGTCGACGAGGCAGCTTCACCGAAAGCGGGGATACCGAGCGCCGCGGGGTCGGGCATGGGGACGTGCGGCGTGGGATGTACACCGTCAAGTGAGGCGGTGGGGACCGCGTTTACATTCGCCGTGAGAGACGAAGAGGGCGCGACGCCGGGGTGCGATGGGAGGAGGCCTGAGGTTGGGCGGGGGTGGTCTCGTTCTTGAGTCGTGCTCGCATTCGCCATGAGAGATGAGGGCGCAGAGCTGGACGACTCCGCCGCGAGCGCGAGGTCCGTGCTCTCTCCGGGTGCGAGCGGGATGGGGGATTGGACGAGCTGCGGGGTGCTCAGGTCCACGTCTGCGTTTGCAGCGGCGTCGGAATCAAGGGTCGACACAGAAGGGGACTCGCGCGCGACGCCGGGGTGCGAGGGGAGGAGACCTGAGGTCGGGCGGGGGTGGTCTCGTTCTTGAGTCGTGCTCGCACTCGCCGTGAGAGACGAGGGCGCGGAGCTAGACGACTCTGCCGCGAGCGCGAGGTCGGTGCTCTCTCCGGGTGCGAGCGGGATGGGGATTGGACGAGCTGCGGGGTGCTCAGGTCCACATCTGCGTTTGCAGCGGCGTCGGAATCAAGGGTCGACACAGAAGGGGACTCGCGCGCGACGCCGGGATGCGAGGGAGGAGGCCTGAGGTGGCGCGGGGTGCAGAAGGAGGGGGTGAAGAGAACGAGGGCGAGGGTGGCGCGATCGCAGAGGAAGAGTGCCCCGTGTGCGCTGTGGTGCTGAAGGTGTCGCCTGCGGAGGACGTGGTGCGGTATGATTCGTGTCGGGCGTTGGTGGTGGTGTCGTCTTGTGGGAGGCCTGGGGTCGACGCTGAGGATAACGACGCCGAGGAGGGGGGCAGCGGAGGGAGGGAGGATTCGGATGTAGAACGTGCTGGGGTGGATTCCGATTCTGAGGAGGCTAAGCCAAGGAAAGATGTGAGTATAAATCGCATACAGCATGAGAAGAGAGAGACGCACGTAGATACGCGGCGACGGCTTGCGGGAGGTACGCCTTCGCGGTGGCAAGGCTGGGCATGTACGACTGCGCACTCGCAAGGAGCGAATCCTGCGGCGCCTGCTCTACACCGGGCTGCACATCTGGCTCCAGATGTGCAGGAAACCCACCCGGGACATCGGGGCCGGGGGTGCCGACGGGAGTGCGTGTGACGTGCCCACCGAGGACGTCGGTCGCGTTCTCGGCCCACTCGCTCGCTGGCGTTTGCGGGAGCGCGCCAGAGGAGATGGTAGGGACCAAGTTGGGTGGGGAGGGATGGATAGTCGTCATCCTAGATTATTTCCAGAGTATATAAGGGTTTATTTCCGTTTATTTCCAGGGTAGAAAGCAAGAGATGAGACGAGAACAAGACGATGAAGCTTTGGAGGTCCAAGTCTTTTGAGTAAAATTCCAGTCAGATAGCAGAAGTTTCGAGCCCAAAGCAAGAAGTAGTCTTCAAGTATATTCAGCCCATGTTGACGAGTAACGCAGCCTTTTATAGTTTTATACGCACGGCTAGACAGTGGAGTAGTGCGAGACATGACGTTGGTGGTGAGCAGGCTCGGGAAGCTGCAGGTAAACAGTCGCAACTAACACCGTGATGGGATCAAACAAACTTTTCCCGAACCTTCACGTCCTCCGAACTCAGGCCTGGTCTAGTTTTTGTCTCTCCCTGATTTTTTCCGGAGTTCGACACCTGAACCTCTCCTTAACAGGACCATTGCTGCTCATTATCAAGTACTTGGCTGTCGGCGGGGCAATTCTTGCATTCTTTCTTTCATCTGTGTTGCATCTGTGGGGTCTGAATATTGCTCGTGTATCAAGGCATCCAGCTATACAATAACTCGGACGTGGTGCACAGCGCACCCTCGCTGTTCTTGGTGTTTCAATATTGTGTTCAATAAATGCGGGAAGACCGGGTTCGACTCCCGGCGTCCGAATGGACATATCGTTCCAGTTTTTTTTCTCTCTTTGTGTGGTTTCTCTGCTTCATTTCCTTCAAGTCGCGAGCATAATCGCTAACCCTTGCGTGTTTGATAGGAACCTATGCAACTCCTCTCCTCGAGTATTCGTGCACGTCATTGTTTATCATGGACACGCGCCCAGAAAACCCACCTGCGTATTCTGGAATCAGGGTCAGAGAGTACCTCCGACGTGGTGCATGGCACAGCCCCGCTCATATTCACCCAGGATATGGCAACTCATGCGGGGATCCCGGATTCGACTCCCGGCGTCCGAATAGGCGGTTGCCACGTAATTTTTTTCTTCTCGTGGATTTCTCTAACGGTGTTCATTTACCTTCAGTCCCATCTACACCCTCGCAACTCCTTTCTTCGAGTATTCATGCACTGCGCGGACTCACACCCAAAAACTCCCTTTCGCAGCCTGTCGCGTAAGTTAGAGAGTGCTTCGGACGTGGTGCACGGCGCGCTCCCGCTGGTTATTACTGTCTGGTCAGATCGTGAATGCGGGAAGCCCGGGTTCGACCCCCGGCGTTCGAATATACTGTACTATTTCGACCGTAGATTCAGCCACTGTGACCTGTGACCACTTAGATTCACCTTTTGATTGATTCAATTTCCTTTTTGGGCGATTTTTCGGCATTTCCCTGTGAATTTTAGCAGGAAAACGGCCAAAAACGGCGATCCCAAAAGCCTGTGACCTGTGACGAAAATTAAATAGATTCAATTCAGGTCTGGCTGTGACCTGTGACCTGAATCTACGGTCGAAATAGTACAGTATGTTCTGGCAAAATCTTTTTCTCTACTTCACGCCTTCTTTTACTTCACACCAACTCATCTGTCCAACTTGCCCGGGATCTCTCTTTGTCGTTCAGGATTTCCTGATGTTTCTCTACTTCATTCTTCGAGGTCATTAACATGGACGCTGATCTTATGATAGGAACCCACGCACCTCTTGCACGTCATTATTTATCGCGGATTTGCGCCCAGAAAATCACCTCCATATTCCGGCACCCAGCACAGACACGTGGTGCATGACGTATACCCGCTAGCAGTTTAACCTCATACTTAGAGGTATTAAATAAAGTGATAAAGCAAAGTATATATGCAGGAGTCGCTCGTTCGAGTCGAGCCGAGGTCATAAAATGAAAGAGACGTTCTTCTTTTGCCTTTTTGCTCCACACAGATTACTTGATACTGTCCGCAAAAATAACCAGTGGTGGCAGATTTGCGGGCCGATTCTGGGCTAATACAGCACGGTATTGGAGGTCGAAACCTGGAAGAATATGAGTGCGCACTTCAAAACGGCATTTGCATCATTGCTAAGTAACGCTGAATTAAAGCCCCGCCCCGATGCTAAGACTCGCACATTTGCGTATCTTATGCCCAACTGCATGAGTTCGAGGCATACCCAACAAGGTACGCAGGCCCTATTTAATTGAGGTCTTTCTTGATTTATTTTTCCGCAGTCGACGAATGCATCGCAGGTAGACATTAAAGGCCTGGTGGCGGGTCTCTCTAGTCAACAAAGTTCTTCGGATGGTACATTTTCTAACAGGCTTCCAAGGCCCGAATTAAAGGCCCAGTTGCGGATAGTCCGCCCCTGCCATCATCTCTCTCATGACTGCTTCTGCAGGAGTCGCTCATTCGATTCGAGCCTCGGCCATGGGACTGGAACAACTCTTTTTTCTCTTCGGTTACTTTGAACCTGCCATACACGGCGGTGGAATAATAGATTCTTTTTCACCTCTATAGTAAGTTTGGATCTTGAAATAGCTCCCAATGTAGATTTTCCTGGACTTGAAACGCAACCGCATCACATTTTTCAGGTGCTTTCACTCTACCTACTGCTCAACTTCAAAACTCGTAAATGACATCGATAGTGGTCTCCTCAGGGGCGCCGAGAGCAACGTATGCCGCCGTCGAGAGCGCAACATCTTCGCCCTCGCATGGAAAGCATATGCCCGCGATGGGCATGGTTTGCACACGCGTTCCGACTGAGATGGAACATGTTAGCACTTTTCCCCGCCAACTGTGTATAGACGTACAGGCTAGAGCGCGGTTTATCGCAGAGCGAAGTGTTGAACAACTGCGGGGAGAGAAGCAGAGCAATAGCATCGGGCTCGATGACGAAGCCACACGCCTCGGGGCCACTGCTGGGGTGGAATTCGATGGTACGAATAATAAAATGAGGGCCAAAATGGCGTTTAGGCAAACAGGTATACCAGCGCCGGTATGAAGCTGCGCAACGGCGCCGAAGCCAAGGTAGCGAGACGGAGATGGCCTTGAGCATGTAGCAGGACTTGTGATGGGACTGTGGATGTGCCTACCGTTCTGCAGTTCCCCTTCAACTTTTTATCCTGGAGCAGAGCGCTAGTCTACCCCGGTCCCGCACGTGTGCTTCACTCTGTCCTCGCAGCATCACCGTGCTCAGTCCGTCCCGGGGCCGTTTAAATTAGATCAATAATATATAAATTGCCGCCAAATATCTCGTATCTTACGCAGATGCCTTGCATCAATTTTTATCAACCATGTTCCTTTCTTCGCTCCAAGCTCGCTGAATTTGGTATGGAGTTCAAGTTTGCGTGTATTTTCAGGTAATCCCACTCCCCAAAGCCCTGGTCTGAGGTCCGATGTCATTCGAATTGTTGCCGCCGTATTATCCACCTCATTGCTTATGGAAGACGTGGTTCCTCCGTTTGATACGCTTCAGACGGGATTTTCTCGAAATAGATATGCGGCAGCAGCTTCCTGCTTGATTTTAGGCTTACCGATTGACCCCCGATATCACCCCCTGCATCACAATCAGCTTCGGTCAGGAACAGGACGTCCAAAGGGATATTTTTCGACCTCACCGATCAGCTGATCAACTCCCATTGGACAGAATGGTGGACAGAATGCCTTCGCTTACTCCTTTCCCTTCTACTCCCATCAACTGCAAAAACCCCCCGCTAGTGAAAGGGAACGAAGATCGGATTGATCCGTAAACACAACCACTCCGTTCTCGGGCTGGCCACAACCACCGTGTAACGCTAAGCGTTTTGAAGTATTGAACGGAGGTTGAAAACCTGTTTTATTTAAGTGCTTCAACATTGCTTGATGTCAAATCAACTCGGGAGAAGATCCGTGATTCCTTCGGAATATCCTTTCAGGGGTAAATATTAGGCAAACCGAAGGCAAAATCTCGAAGAAGCCAATATTGAAAACCAAATGCACGGGCAGAAACCAGAACAGATTGTAGACTGACTCATAAAACAGCAGGGAGAAGCTTCAGTTATCACATCGCTTCCGCTTTCAAGTTGTCGTGGTCGGCATGCAGAAAAATAGTTGGTTATTCGGTTGAGGGAGCTGCGGCTGGGACACCGGCGGATTGAAGCTGGCGTCGGGCCCGGACGGCATGCGACGGGGTAGCAGCGCCGAAACTGTCCACACTCTCTATACTCTGCCCAATCCAGCGCGGGCGGCGATGATCGTCGGTGCGATTCCCTGATCAAAACGGAAATAAGGGAGTGACCGGGAGCCAGGATACGTAGGCAACGGACCACCAATTGGCCCAATATGGCACCGTTGGTCGTCTGTTAGTTGCGAGAGTTGTTTCAGCTGGGGTAATTTATGAGAGGAAATGATCAGTACCCACAGTATCGGTATTTAAGCGGCCGCTGAGTTCGTAGGCCGAGATGATAGCGAAAGCGATGCCGCCAACACAGTACAGGGCCCCGGACTCCAATCTACTCAGTATGTCAATTAGTGGGACGCGCATATTCAGGGACACGTGGCCGATATTGTGGTGTACTTGTCCACTACCTTCCGTCCCATAAGCAGACGTGCTCCGCCTGCGAGCCACCAAATTCGGCCCGTCCTATTAATTGTCCCTGCTAGCAGGAAGAGCAGGGAACGAACCGCTTAGACCCATCAAGATGACGGTCGTCAAAACTGACAAGGAAATGGAAAGGGTGAAGAGAAATGCGGGGAGGCCCCCGCTGAAGGTGGCATATAGAGGATCGAAGACCGCAGTAGTTTGAAGGGACACGATAACGTTGAGATAGCCAAAGGCTTGAGACGTGGTCAAATGGTCACGCCCTCAGAATACGAAACACAGGAAACCCACCAGCACCGATGATAGTCATGACTATCGGAAGGATCACAATATTCCATCGGAAATTCCAGATCGCATAGCAGCGAAAAATCTGGAGAGTCGTCAGGGATCAGGGAAGTTAAACGCTTGGGAATAAGCTAACCAAAATCCCATCTGCGATTGCACTGGACTGGGCTCCAAACCCAGTGCAACATACATACGCACTTGCTGGTCACGTAAATCGTGTTCGACCCGATTCAAGGAGACGTAGATTTGGAGACTCTGTCTCGACAATTCCGCGCTCCCGTTAATTACATTGGCGATTTCCGTGGCGGCCAACAGAAGTGCGCAATATACAGTGCAGAGTAGGAAGAGAGAGATCGTAGCGATGGTCAGAAAGCGATTTTTCACGACACCATTTTTGCGGAGGACGTGCAGATAGAAATTGAACATGGATGCCCTTGTAGCACATCAGCTGAGTGCTGCAAGGAACTTACCCAGGAGCTACCATAGAGAAATACCTCGGCCTGGTATGAAAATGTTATAACAACTTGGGATCAGGTAAAAAGGACCCAACACAACGACGAATACTTAGTTATTTTCCTTTTTCTTTGCCTCAAAAACACTCTCGTAATTTCTCTGTCGTCACAAGCGTTATTTATTTGATTCAGGCCCCAAAACTCCCCTCGCGAAGCAAGCGTTATTTATCCAACTTAGGCCCAAAAACTCCCCGTTGTAGCCAGACACGTAGGTATCAGGAGAGTACTTCGGATGTGGTGTATGGCACACACCCGCTCATATTCCAGGGTTAACGGTTTCTGTCAACTAACTTGAGTGTGATGCGGGAAGCTCGGGTTCAACTCTCGGCGTCCGAATGGACCGTAACGTACGTTTTTAAAAAAATCTTCTCATAGATTTCTCTAACGCTCATCCATTCAATTCTTCGGGTTCATTCACATGGACACGGATTTATCTGACAGAAATCCTCGCAACTCTTCTCTTCGAATATTCATATACACATCATCATTAATCTCCGACTCAAGCCCAGAAATTAGCTCCATATTCTGGAGCCATAGTTAGATAGTACCTCGGACGTGGTGTATGGCGCAGCCTCACTCATATGTGGGATTCCGACTCGTATGCGGGATGGCCGGGCTCGGCTCCCGGTGTCGGAATGGATCCTAATTTTGGTGGTTTTTTTTCTGGGTTGTTATCAGAGGTTTCTCCAACGGCGATTCATTTACCTTCAATCCCTTTCACATGACAGCTAATTTTGGTGACAGGAACCCATGCAACTCCTCTTTTCGAGTATTAACAGGACTATTGCCGCTCAGCATCAAGTACTTGGCTGTCGGCGGCGCAATTCTTGCATTCTTTCTTTCATCTGTGGGCCCTGAATCTTGGTCATGTATCAAGACATCCATCTATGCCATAACTCGGACGTGGTGCACGGTGCAATTCCGCTTGTTGTTACTGCTGCACAAGTTACAAATGCGGGAAGACCGGGTTCGACTCCCGGCGTCCGAATAAGTGTTACACGTTGCGATTTTTTTTTCTCAGAGGTTTCTACGACAGTGATTCATTTCCTTCGAGTTCATTCAGATGAACGCTAATTTTGATGACAGACCACAACTCCTCTCTTCGAGTATTTCATGCACATTATTGATTTCTGGCTAAGCTCTTTTCACTTCCGCACTAATTCCTTTCTTTTTTTGGCCCAAAGCATTCGACCCTACGACTCGTGAGTAATCCCTCGACATATCATCCATCATCGTCTATGAATTACGCCCAGAAACTCCCCTCACCACCTCCCACAAAGGCTAAATGGTACCTCGGACGTGGTGCACGGCGCACCCCGCTCTCGCTTAGCGGTTGCCCATTCTGAATTGAGTATAATGCGGGAAACCCGGGTTCGACTCCCAACGTCCGAATGGACCTCAGCGTCTGTTTCTTTTTTCTTTTTCTGGTTCATTTCAAGTCGTGAGCATGATCGCTAATCCTTGCGTGTTTGATAGGAACCCATGCAACTCCTCTCTTCGAGTATTCACGCACGTCATTATTTATCCCGGACTTACGCCCAGAAAACTCACCTGCGTATTCTGGAATTAGGGTCAGGCCTGTCAGGGAGTACCTCGGACGTGGTGTACGGTGCATACCTGCTCGCATTGATGTATTTGCTTGTCTGATTGTGCGGGAGGGCCGGGTTCGACTCCCGGCGTCCGAATAGATACGAACTATTTTTTTCTTCTTATAGATTTCTCTAACGTTGATTCGTTTACCTTCAGTCCCATTCACACTGACAATCTTTTCTTTGCTTTTACCTCAAACACACTCCGAGTCGAGTTTCAAGTGTTATTTATCTGACTCAGGCACAGAAACTCACGTTCGTATCCTCGCACCAAAGGCTACAGAGTGCTTCGGATGTGGTGCATGGCGCACACCCGCTCGCAGTTTCTGCATCTACGAAAAGCTTCAATGCGGGAAGCCCGGGTTCGACCTCCGGCGTCCGAATATTGTATTTTAGCAGCAACTTATTTTTCCCCCTTACAGGTCAGTGACTCATTTCCTCTCCAAGTTCATTCACATGAATCATTATTCTTTTTTCTTTTTTCTCTGCTTTTGCCTCAACAACACTCTCGTAAATTCTCTCTCGTCGAGTTTCAAGTGTTCTTTATCTGATTCAGGCCTGGAAACTCACCTTCGCAGCCTGTCGCGTAGGTCAGAGAGTACCTCGGACGTGATGCACGGCGTACGACCGCTACCTATGATCGAGAGATTGATATGAATGCGGTAGGTCGGGTTCGACTCCCGGCGTCCGAATAGGGGGGTGCTCTAGAATTTTCTTCTTCTCATGGATTTCTCTAACATTGATTCATTTCCTTCGAGGTCATTCAGATGGCTAATTTTTCTAACAAACCCCAACTGCTCTCTTCGAGTATTCATGCAGATCATTATTTATCGCTGATTCACGCCTAGAAATCATCGCCGTAGCCTGGCACCAAAATTAGAGAGTATCTCGGATGTAGTGTAAGGCGCACACCCGCTCGCACTGCTTGAGGGAAGTTACCAATTGTGCGGGAGGCCCGGGTTCGACTCCCGGCGTCCGAATGTCGACCCAAGGTGGGATCTTTTTTTGCTCTCTTTCAGAGGTTTCCCTAACGCTGATTCATTTTCTTCGAGGTCCATGATTGCTTATTTATGACAGGACCTCGCAACTCCTCTCTCTTGGAGTATTTATCCACATCACACTTTTCTGAATCACGCGCAGAAACTCACCTCCACATTCTGGAACCAGGGTTAGAGTGGAACTCGGATGTGGTGTATGGCGCACACCCGCTCGCACTACTTGAGGGAAGGTGACAATTGTGCGGGAGGCCCGAGTTCGACTCCCGGCGTCCGAATGGACCGTAACGATATTTTTGAAATTCCTCTCATAGATTTCTCTAACGCTCATCCATTTTCTTCGGGTTCATTCACATGGACACGAATTTATCTGACAGAAATCCTCGCAACTCCTCTCTTCGAATATTCATATACACATCATCATTAATCTCCGACTCAAGCCCAGAAAATTAGCACCATATTCTGGAGCCATAGTTAGATAGTACCTCGGACGTGGTGTATGGCGCAGCCTCACTCATATGTGGGATTCCGACTCGTATGCGGGATGGCCGGGCTCGGCTCCCGGTGTCGGAATGGATCCTAATATTGGTGGTTTTTTTTTCTGGGTTGTTATCAGAGGTTTCTCCAACGGCGATTCATTTACCTTCAATCCCTTTCACATGACAGCTAATTTTGGTGACAGGAACCCATGCAACTCCTCTTTTCGAGTATTCATGCATCATTATCTATCGTGTACTCACGCCCAGAAGCTCACCTTCGTGTCCTGGTACCAACATTGTGCTCTGATCTGGGTTCTGAAATGCAGCGAAAAATAAAGTGCATGAAATACTCCAAGAAGGATGGATAAGAAGACTCAGGATAATATATTAGCTTGACGTGGTTCCATGGTGATGGCGGTATAACAAGACTGGCCAAGTTATGTGATGCGTGGCTTGTTTGCCAGTTTGGCCTTTTCTTTTCTCTTTTTTTCGACAATGATGCACCAAGAGCTCATCGATGCCATCGTGGAACAGGTGGATGGCAAGAAATCTTTGAAGGCCTGCGCTCTTGCAGCTTCCAGTTTCCGCGGCGCAAGCCAGCGCATCCTCCTTCGCTCCTTCACTCTCAAAGGTAGTCGCGCCTATGGCGCTCCTGGGTCTCGCAATCCCGCGAATCACAGTGCAGTCTATGCGTTACTTACGGAGTCTCCCCACATCGCGCCCTATATCTCCGACTTGAAAATAGTGTTTCCATCGGCACCGACACCGCCCGAAGAAGTTGACAGTCTCAAACGCGTGCTTGCGAAACTGACGAAAGTGAAACGGTGCATTATTACTGGAATATACATCTCGAAGAACCATCAAGGGACCGGCTGGGGTGACCTTGTAAAGGCCCTCTCCTCGCCTCTCCTCGACTTCATCTCACGGCAGAGTTTGCGCGAGCTCCATATCCAGTGCATCATCCTCCCTCTGGAAGTGCTGTTACGCCTTCTCATGTCCGCCCCGACGGTTTCATTGTACTTCGCCTATCTGTCTAAACCATCCTCCCGCTCGAAGAGATCCAAAAAACCCGCCGCGATCGGCAACCTACCATCTGCAGCCACGCTCGAGTCCTTGATTCTCGCAGAAGACGAGGGCGTATCTAAAGTTTTGGCTGGTTCGGACTTTGCAGCGTATACAGCAAACTTGCGCCGGTTGGCGGTGACGATGAGAACTCAGTCTAGCGCCGCCATGATTTCTACTGCGGCTCCGACGCTTGAACATCTTCGTATTTACTGTCATGATGCCGGTGAGTCTGCCATTGCGCATCCGTGGCATTCCGCGTTGACGGCAAATATGCAGAAGTTGGCATGCAATTACCCGCTATACTGTCCCTTCCCCAACTCCGCTCCCTCGATGTCGCACTTCACCTCGAACAGCGTGACGCCCCGTGGTTCATCAGCACCATTTCCGACATTTTTTCCGCAGGCTCCGCCTCCCTCGAGGAGGTGATCGTCACTTATTTTTCAGGCTCATTCAAGATGCCAGATGCACTAGATTACCCATCCGTGCTCCGAAAGCTGGAAAAATTACTCCTCTCTCGCTCTACGCCACCGCGGATTAGATGGAGGGTCGAATTGTCGTCAAAAGAGTTCTTCGCCCAAATTACGAGCTCGATGCCGCAACTGATGCCCAAACTACACGCTGCAGGTAAAGTCGTCGTGGAAGGGTATCAGGAGGAGGATCTTCATGGGGAAGGGTTACCATATCCTGTATGAGATGAGAGGTTGGCGAATCGTACAATTTGTTGTTCAGCTCTATTAATTTGTCCTTATTCTCTTTTTAGACGCATAATCCCGACCGCTACCCTTTAGACCGACTTTTGAAACGATTCCCTTCTTTCTTGATAGTATATGTGCACTATGGTCATGCTTCGACGATGTCGCGATAATTATATTACAACTACGCCCAAAATAATTTCGAACCCCTGTATCTAAGAGCGGAGCTGAATGAGATGAACACACCACTCTGTGAAGGGGAGCAATAGCGCGAGTGTGAGAGGAGGCCTAAGGCGTCCCAAATCTAATCAGGCACTTGTGGGCCAGCAAGCGGGCTGTATAATCTGCTGGATGATGGCGGCTTTTATGATCAATATGACACAAATACGAAGGTGAGGAACGAAAAGAGACATAGACCGAATGGCGATGAGACCAATACTGCCGCAGTTAGACTGCGGAGAGCGAGTAACAGCAAAGAGATATAGCAGTGGGATTTATGCAGCTCCTCACCGTACATGGTTGAAACGTACGAAGGGAAAGTGCGTAAAACAAATGACAAGTAATGACGGAACGGAGCCGTATCGAGACAGGAACCAGGGACATACACTGCCTTTCCGTAGCCTCGTGAGAGCTCCGTTCGCTCGATATGGTACCATTCGATATGCGATTGAACGGGAACGGAACCTAATTGGGAACAAGATCAAATGTCAACTGTGTGGAGAGGCTCAGCTTCCGTTTCCGTATCCGTCTCGGATGAGGGCCCAAAATGGTCTCACTCACAACCGACTAATGGAGTAAACAAGGCCGAAATGAGTGAGCTCGGTTAATCGACAGTAAATCGCCCGGAGCGCGGGATTCTTCTTGGAAAGCAGAATTCCAGAGAGGTTGTCTCGAGGGTTGATTTCGACACCCTGGCCTGAACCAAACAGCCGACCCGCGCTGGAAAATGCCAGAAGCACACAGAAGACAGCCCAAACGCGCAGTGAAATGGCCGTTTGACGCCAAAGAAAGCTTGTGAAGTAATTTAGTGATTTTTTATCGACGAAATCCAACTGCCCAACAACAATGTAGTTTCCAGGGGTCTCTCGGGTGCGTATCCGTCTGCATAACGGGTTGATGCACACTAACGCACTACGCCGGAATTCTTACTAATCAAGGCCAATGTATTGCTCTGTGCCCTCATGAATACCCGGAAATTCATACTTAAGGATTCCTATCCTTTCTCCTCGCTGCAGGCAGTGGAAGCACGCGGGAATACCTTGTTCAAAGCCTCTATTTATTCTCTTACCGCTGCAGTATTTCCGAAACCCAGTAAATTTGTAACCCAACACGGTGCTGGAGCGGAGTTTAAACCAGCCACGTTCAAAATATGAATCGAAGTGTGTTCAAACTTTGTGCTCTCCTCCAATGACTAAAGATCGACATAAAGATTGCGTATTTCTAACAAACTGTCAACGCGTAGTTCGTTAGAAGCGATTGACTGATCGACCTGGTTCAATTTCTTTTTGACCGGCAACTGTGCTGTTACGGGAATCGTGTATCTGCTTCAAATTCCATTTCCTGGTTCGTTGAAAAGATTCCAACACAAAACCGATCTACATTGGTTCGGCAAAGTGCGGCATCACTTGGCATCCACCGGCATTGCAGCCAGATCAACTTCGGCAGGAACCCGATCCCAGAAAATCCATGGGAAACCGGCTTGCTCAATGCCTATCTTGGAAGATAGTACCTGTCGCTGACAGATACTTGTCAGCGGCATCAGTGATGTACGACTCGGACAGATACCAGGTAGCTACCGTCGCCTGAGCCCAGGCATAACGCTAGAAGCTCAAGGCAGCCGCAGCCGCCAGTAAACCAGTATTGGG